TTTTGTGTTGCTATAGAATAGTACACTTAGTTTTCCACTCATGTAGCCATGAAGGAAGAAAGTTCACCTATTTCTTGAGGCCTTGTTAGCTAAGTGAATTTGGCTCTATCTTCTCCAGCTTTTACTTCTTTCATTAGTGTTATAAAATGCTTCAGTGGAATTTACTTTTATTTTATATTTTGACATCACCCTTTCTTTGACTTTGATGCTGGGAGGTATAAAACTGGATTTACAGAATTATAAGTATAAATTTTCCCAGAAAAGTTAGATTCAAGTTCATATTTTTATTATTATGTTGCTTTATTGAATGTAATATTAAAATAGATTAACATATTACAATTATTAATTAATCTGGAAAAAACTATAATATTTTCATCCCTAATACAATCATTTGGTTAGAAGAATACCATGCAGTTAGGCATAATGGTACATGCTTATAATCCCAGCAGCTTGGGAGGCTGAGACAGGAGGATCACAAGTTCAAAGCCAACCTCAGTTACTTAGCAAGGCCCTAAGTAATTCAGCAAGATCCTGTCTCTAAGTAATTGAAAAAAAAAAAAAAAACCCGGGATGTAGCTCAGTGTTTAAGCACTCCTGGATTTACTCCTTAGTATAAAAAAATAATAATAATAATAATAATAAAAAGAACACCACTCATTGTAGTGGCTCTAAATTAATTGATACCTAATGTATCACGATTCTGAGTTTCTGATCCACCTCCACTGACATGTGCAGAAGCTCAGGCTCAGGGTAAGCCTGGTCTGCCCCCCCATAGGGAGCCCAGGCTTAACCCACTTCCATCTTGGGTCACTCCAGCCATCACCATAGCCTTCCCCACACAGTATCCTCTACCTTGTAACTACAAAGAGGGCCTAGAAGCAGCTGCGTCTAGGAGCAGGCATCCCAAAGCCTGTGTAAGGCCCACCCTTTCAGCCCCCATCTCTGAAAGACATTTCTTCCATCTTGGGGCACCCCCACTGCTATTTTGAATTACCTCCACTATTGCAACCACCAACTTTAGTTGCAGTAACATCCATTGTGGGACACTGGCAGGGTCTGGAAGCCCAACACCAAGATTAGGTATAGATAATATGCATGGATACTATAAAATTGTAGGGTAGAAACTGTGATACCTCAGATCCACTGAAAGAAAGGAAGACACATAGGTAATATGAAAAAACAAGGGAGGAAAGTGCCCCAAACAAATCAGGATACCACAATATCAGAACCCGTGGACAGCACAGTTGATAAATGTCAGAGAAGGAGTTCAGAATGTTGATAATTAAAATAATCTGTGGATTAAAGAATGACCTAAATGAGCAAATACAGGCAAAAATTGATCACTCTAACAAAGAGATAAGACAGCAAATACAGGCAACTATTCATGATACCAATAAAGAGATAAGGGAGCAATACAGGCATCCATTGATCACACCAACAAAGAGATAAGGGAGCAAATAAAGGTAGTAAAGAATTACTTCAAAAAAGAGAGATTCTGTTAAAAATCAGAAATTGTTGAAATGAAGAAAACAATAAACCAACCAAACAAACAAACAAAAAAAATCAATAGAAAGCATCAGGAACAGACTAGATCACTTGGAAGACAGAACATCAAATAATGAAGACAAAGCAAACAATCTGTAAAATAAAGTTGTTGACACAATGAAGATGATAAGAAACCATGATCAGAACATCTAAGAATTATGGGATAGCATCAAAAGATAAAATGTAAGAATTATTGGGATAAAGGCACAGAGTTTCAAACCAAGGGAATGCACAATCTCTTCAATGAGATAATATTAGAAATTTTCCCAAACATAAAAAATGAATTGGAAAATCAAATAAAAATGGCTTATAGGACACCAAATGTATAAAATTACAACAGATTTATACCAACACAAATTATAATGAAAATGCCTAGCATACAGAATAAGGATAGAATCTTAAAAGACACAAGAGTGAGGAATTGGATCACATACAGACCAATTTGTATCTCAGCAGATTTTTCAACTAAGACCCTCATAGCCAGGAGATCATGGAACAACATATACCAAGCTCTGAAAGAAAATGGATGCCAACCAAGAATTTTATATCCACCAAAACTAAGCTTTAGATTTGATGATGAAATAAAAACCTTTCATGATAAACAAAAGTTAAGAGAATTTACAACTAGAAAGCCTACACTACAGTTCATCCTTGGCACAATATTCTATGAAGAAGAAATAAAAAACAATGATGAAAGTCAGCAGAGGGAGGTATTACACTAAAAGAAAAGCTAATCAGAGCAGAAACCAAGTCAAGTTAAATACCAAAAATAAACAAAAATGGCTGGAAATACAAATCATGTCTCAATAATAACCCTATATGTTAATAGCCTAAACTTACCAATCAAAAGACATAGACTAGCAGATTGAATCAAAATCAAACAAAAACAACAACAACGAACAAACAAACAAAAAAACCCAACAACATTCTGCCTCCAAAAGACTCATCTCATAGGAAAAGAAATCCATAGACTGAAGGTGAAAGTTTGTGAAAAATCATTCTACTCACGTGGACTGCAGAAGCAAATAGGAGTTTCCATTCTTATATATAAAAAAAAAGTAGACTTCAAACTAAAATTAATCAAAAGGGATAAAGAAGGACATTTCATACTGCTCAAGGGAACCATACACCAACAAGACGTCTTGTTGGTGTATGGTTCCCTTGAGCAGTTGTTGGTGTATGGTTCCCTTGAGCAGTATGCTGCAAAAAATGGAGCATCTGCATTCATCAAACAAACTCAAGTTCAAGAGTCTAATAGATCACAATACAATCATTCTGAGTGACTTTAACATAGCTCTTTCACTACTGAATACATCTTCCAAACAAGAGATGAACAAAGAAACTATAGAACTCAATAATACAATCAATAACTTAGACTTAACTGATATATATATAAAATATTTCAGCCTTCAACAAGTGAATACACTTTCTTCTTAGAAGCACAAGGATCCTTCTCTAAAATAGAGCATTTATTATGCCAAAAAGCAACTCGAAACAAATACAAAAAAGTACAAATAATATCCTGCATTCTATCAGATCATATGGAATGAAATTAGAAATCAATGATTAAATAACAAATAAAAGCTGTTCCAACACCTGGATACTAAACAACATGCTATTGAATGAACAAAGGATATCAAAAGACATGAAGGAGAAAATTTAAAAAATTATTAGAGGTAAATGAGAACACTGACTAATCATATCGAAATCTCTGGGACACTATGAAGGCAGTACTAAGAGGAGAGTTCATTGCATGGAGTTCGTTCCTTAAAAGAAAAAAAATTAAACAAATAAATGACCTAACATTACATCTCAAAGCCCTAGAAAAAGAGAACAAATCAACACCAAAAGCAGTAGAAGATAGGACATAATTAAAATCAGAGATGAAATTGAAACAAAAGAAACAACTGAAAAAAATGACAAGACGAAAAGGTAGTTCTTTGAATTGGCCCAATTCTCCATTATGTCAGATTAGGCCTTGACTTCTTTAATAAGACTCCTATAGTGCAAGAATTAAAATCAACAATCAATAAATGGAATGGATTCAAACTAAAAAGCTCCATCAAAGCAAAACAAAAATGAGTGAAGTGAAGAGAAAGACTACATTTTGGGAGAAAATTTTTTACCACACACATCATATAGAGCACTAATCTCTAGGATATATAAATAACTCAAAATATCAACACCAAAAAATCAAATAACCCAATCAGTAAATGAGCCAAGGAACTGAATAGTTTCTTCTCAGAAGATGATACAAACCGATCAACAAATATATGAAAAAGTGTTCAACATCTCTAGCAATTAGAGAAATGCAAATCAAAACTACTCTTAAGATTTCCTGTGACTCCAGTCAGAATGGCAGCAATCAAATGGCAGATGTATACAACAATAAGTGTTGGCAAGGATGTGGGTAATAAGGCACATTCATTGTTGGTGGGACTGAAAAATTGGTGCAGACAATATGAAAAGCTGTATGGAGAATACTTGAAAAACTGGGAATGAACCACCATTTGACCCAGGTATCCCACCTCTTTGGTCTATACCCAAAGGACTTAAAAACAGCATACCACAGGGACACCGCCACATCAGTGTTTACAGCAGCACAATCACAATAGCTAAACTGTGGAAACAATCTAGATGCCCTTCAGTAGATGAATGGATAAAGAAAATGTGGTATATATACACAATGAAATAGTATTCAGCATTAAAAGAGAATTAAATCATGGCATTTGACAGTAAATGGATGGAGTTGGAGAGTATAATGCTAAGTGAAGTTAGCCAATGCCAAAAAACCAAATGCCCAATGTTTTCTCTGATTAAGGATATTGATTCATAATGGGGTTGTAGGTGGGGGGCATGGGAGGATTAGATAGGACAAAGGGGAGGAAGGGGAAGCAAGGATGCTTGGGTGTAGGAAAGACAGTGGGATGAGATGGACATCATTACCCTAAATACATGTTTGAAGAAACTAATGACATGAATTTACTTTGTATTCAGCCAGAGATATAAAAATTGTGCTCTATATGTGTAATATGAATTGTCTTGTATTCTGCTGTCATATATAACAAATTAAAATTATGAGTTCTCAATTGAAAATTAAACTCAATAAAATTTTTGTAAGTCTCCATGTAAGAGTATGTTCCCTTGAGGTCATAGAGATATAACAACATCAATCCATGCATATAAGTCACTAGGAGATACAATAAAATTATTTCATCTCCCACTGTTACTCATTTAGGAAAAATAATTGAACTTAACTTTTTTTTATCAGTCTTTTAGTTGAAAGATATTGTATCCATTAGATATTTACCATACTATTTTTTTAAAGGAAATATTCATTGAACTGCATGGTATTTAAATTGAAATGTTTATTTCTTGTAAATTCTATTTCTGTCTATGTAATCTTAAAGATGAAAAATACATTACACAGACATACACACACAATATATATATTTTAAAATACAGAGCACTTTATGCATTTGTGTGTCATTTTTGCACAGGGGCCATGCTAATTTCTGTATTGTTCCAATTTTGCTGCCAAAGCTATCACTACATCTTAAATTATAAGTAAGAGTATTCCTTGGGAAACTAAATCCCAGGGAGTACTCTTACTCTCTAAGTGTGCCAATGATAGCATTCGACCAAGACACAGCGCTCCTGATTCTGAACTGGGATTCTTTAATAATCACTTTTATCCTGAACTCTCCTACACAATTAATAATTATCACTTTAGACATTTATTTTAAATTACTATTTGTATTTTCAAAACATGGACAGTTTACTTGGAATGTAGCTCAGTGGTATAGCGCTTGCCTAGCATGCATGACCCCTGGGTTTAATCTGCAGTAATACAAAAACAAAACAAAACAAAACAAAATGGACATTTCATCTGTAGTAAAGAGTCACAGTCAACCTCCAAGTCCAAATTTCCATCATGGGACAACAGCAGAAAAAAAATATTATTTGTATAGATGAGAAGATGAGGCATAAAGAAAATAAACTGTTTATCTTCCCTAAATCCATGAACTAGCAAATATTTGATGGCAAAATACATATGATTCTTACCTTAATTATAATTTTATATACACAGCATACCCTTTCTGGGTTCTTCCTTAATGCAGGAAATCTTCCATGTGCTATGAAAACCTACCATCACCTGCTTTCTCATTGAGTCTCCCACATGTCTCCACCCCTCTGTGCTATAGAATCTGTGGCCTTAGGATTTGAATGATAAGAGAAATAACATTTTCTTTTGGTCAAAATGCTTCAGGTTGTATATTAAATATTTAATATAGGCTATTTCATTTATCCCTTACTATATTCTATAAGTATTATTCCTTCTTTATAAAAGAGATTTTGGGGGCTGGGATTGTGGCTTAGCGGTAGGGCACTTGCCTAGCATGCTGGGGCCCTGGGTTTGATCCTCAGCACTGTGAAAAAATAAATGAATGATATAAAGGTATTGGGTCCAACTACAACTAAAAAAATTATATATTAAAAGAAAGAAAGAGATTTTGGTGAAATCTCTTTTTCACCCACCTTCCTTCTTTATGTTTCCTTCTTTAAGAAAACATAAAGCATAAACTTATTTAGATTATATAATATACAACAATAAAAGTAGGAAATATTCTATTATATAATGAAAATTAATCTATAGTGGTAAGCTGATCTACACTGATGCCATATAATGATAACTATGAAGAGTTAAGAGACAAGAAAAATATGTTTGGGCATAATGTATTAAAAATAGCATGAGGGGCTGAGGTTGTGGCTCAGTGGTAAAACATTGCCTAGCACGTGTGAGGCACTGGGTTCGATCCTGAGCACCACATACAAATAAATAAATAAATAAAGTTTAAAAATAATATTGTATTAAAAAATAGCATGAATAGAGTGCAGCTGGGCATGGTGGTACAAATATGTGATCCCAGCGGCCTCAGAGGCTAAGGAGGAAGATTGTAAGTTCAAAACCAGCCTCAGAAAAACGAGGCACTAAGCAACTCAGAGAGACCCTGTCTCTTAATAAAAGACAAAATAGGGCTACAGATGTGGCTCAGTGGCTTTAGGGAAGATAAAAATGAACATTTAATCTGTAGTAAAGAGTCACAGTCAACCTCCAAGTCCAAATTTCCATCATGGGACAATAGCAGAAAAAAATATTATTTGTATAGATGAGAAGATGAGGCATAAATGTCCCCAAGTTCAATTCCTGGTAACACTCCCCCTCCCCCACCCTGCCAAAAAAAAAATAGCATGCAAAAGTATATACAACAGCTTATCTAAAAACTTTGGAAATATGCTAAAAGAAAAAGAAAAAAATAAAAATATAGTATATAACTAGATATAATTATAACAAATAATCTGACAAGATGTATATTAGAGTGAGAAACAAGCTATATGTTTCTTTATTAAAATCAATAGGAATATAAAAGAAACATAGATATGTCATAACTAAAAGATAAAATTTTTGTTCTGTGAAGAACTAAAATGCACTGGAGTTTACATAAAACTAGAGAGAAAGCTGTCTAAATATAAATTCCATTGATTATAAGCTAGTCTCAAACTTGTGAACCCTGTCAGCCTTGGGAGTAGCTGGGATTACTGGCTTGCACCATCTCCTTGCATCAGAATGATTTTTATCATGTAAAATATTAGCCTAGAGCAAGGGCAAACTTGCAGGCTGAACATTTTTTTAGATGCTTAGATTAGCTTTCACTTTCCATTTTAATAAGGGTAAAAAGTTTTATTTTTGGAGCTTTTCTTCCCCATCCTTTGCCTTTACATGCAGCTGCATGTTAAATGAGTTTCAAAATTTTTCAACTAAAGCCAGCCATCTCTGTAATAACTAGGCTAGAAAACAGAAATATTGAAAGAGTTTTGTCTGGCTTGCTTTTTCCTATTGGGACAGAAATAACTTAGATTCAAACTGTCACTTTTGTAGAGTATACATGAACATTTCATTCATTATCAGTCAAGTGAAAAAGAAGAATGTTTAAAGATAGAAACAGATGGGGGCTGTGGGTTTTGTTTATAGATAGAGAGTCTGTTTTGTGGCACTTGAGCTAAAAAAAATCATTGTAGGTTAAAAAAAATCAGCTCTATAGATCAATTGATCCTAGGACTTTAGGTTGTAGGTAAAGATAACCTTAAGAGAGATACTCAAAGTCAGGACCTTGAAATTGTCAGAATGGCTGGTTAGGAAAGTTGCTCCAAGGCTCAGGATTCAAGCAGCTGGAGTACTGCTTCTCAGAAAGGTGGGTGAAAAACAGATTTCATCAAAATTTAATATTGAACAGTCAGAGAATCTTAGAGTCTCAGAAATTTCGGTTCACTGAAAAAAGAAGAGCATGAGGCTGAACTGGTAGCAGCAGAAGCAGTGGCAGCAGCAGCAGTGCGGACTCACCATAGAGGAGAGGTAAAACAGAGAGAGAAATGCAACAGACAGACCTGGCATGGAAAACCTGAGATCAGGCAAGCAGACTAAACTTGGGTGATCCAGAGGCTGATTGTGAACTGCTGATTGTAAAGTGCTGTTTCCCAAGTGGCCAAGGAGAGCTGAGGCAGAGCCACTTTTAGGAGGCAACTCTGCAGCTGCTGCTGTGGAGCCAGTAGATCATACCAAATACTCAGACTGTCCCAGCAAGCACCTACCACATGGCCTATAGTGTACCTAGCAAGCGCATAAGTGAAACAGGCATGGGGAAGATTGTACCCAGGGTGATTCACGTCAGAAAAACAGAGGCAAGCACAATTTGCTCTTACCTTTGAGATGGACAGCTTACATGACATGATCATCTGAAGCAGGTTGTGAATCTGAACAGGCAGGTGTGAATACACTCAGGGACTAAGCCAGGAAGGCTGTGTTAGGGGACAGCAGAGTGCATGAAACTTTGGCTTCCCTGCTCCATGAATAGGATTCTTGGAAGGCTCCTCAGATCCAGATTCCTGACAAAGATCAGCAACTGCCAGGCCCTAGTAATGTGTTAATCAAATCGCTACAGAGAAGACACCACCCAATGAAGCCCTTGAGACCTTAAGCCCCAGCAACTGGAACTCCACACCTAGAATTCTGCAGCAGCCCCACTCTGGCAGTGCATTGATCTGGTCTGTGCAGACAAAGCTCCAACTGACAGTATTTCCCATCCCATCCAACCTCATGCTGGTGAGAAGGAAAACTGAGAGTTATTTCAACCAGCTTCAAGTCTTAAGCCCCTCCAACTAGCAACTCAGTGAGTAGAACAAAGAGAAAAGGGCTAACAACCACCCCCACTCAGTTTGGAGCCCAAGAAGAAATAGAAAGGACAGTTAAGCATAGACAGTGACCATCCATTCTCATTGACTATTTTGACCACCTCAGTGGAAATGATTTCTTAATTTTTTATTAAGTCTACTTTCCTTAGTTTTTGTTATTATTTGTTGTTTTGCCATGCTAATTGTTTATTGGCATACATAACATATATATTTGTTCTTTTATTTTCATGTTTTTAGCATTTTTTAATGCAATTGTTTTTCCTTGCCTTATCTTTTGAGTGTTAGGGTTGGGGTTTGTTTATTTTGGTTGTGTTTGCTTTACTTTGTTCCTCTTGTTTGTATTTCTGCCTTCTTCCACTAACAGCCAAATTCTTTTTATCTAGTCCTTTACTTAGTTTCCCCTTTTTTCTCCTCCTTCCTATAACCATCAGCTGCTATAGCTTTTCTGCATTTTCTCTGTTCACATTTTCTTTTCTCTTAATGAACTGTAGTTTTACCATCTTATAGACTAATTGGTTTATAACTGTTGCCCCCATTATTTATGCTATTGCAATTGTTACTGCTGTGAATGATACAGTTGACACCTGTTGTTTGCTTTAATGCCAGATCTAGTTCATAGCTACTTATTGTTTTTGTTATTGTTTTTGCAATTACTGACCTCATTTGTGTGTGTGTGTTAATTAAATTTTAGATGTCAGAGTAAGTACCAAAAAATTGTGCATCTTTTCCCACATAACAGTGCACTCTCGGGTCCCACTCACAGATATCATTGTTACAGAAAAAAAAAAAAAGATTGACGTAACACAAAACCTGTGAATACCATGCCTATGAGGGAATCTCAAACTAGATCATTTTAGGACACATTATAAAGGGAAGGCTATCCCCTGAAAATACCCATACATATAAGTGGAAGAGACACCCACTCTAACAAATGCATAAAACTCAACACAGGAATAAAAAAACATAAAAATAACAAAGTAACATGACATCTCCTCATGTTAATAATTTACCAGCAACTAACTTCACAAATATTGAAGTGGATGAATAACCAGATAAAGAATGTAGAATAATGACTATAAAATAATCAATGAATTCCAAGAGAACACAGAAAAAACAATGGAAAAACTAAGTAAGTCAGCAAAGGGTATGAATGAGAAATACAATAAGAAGATAGAGAGATATTGAAAAAGAAATAAACAAACAAAATCTTTGAAATGAAAGACACAACGAACTAAATAAAATGTTCAGTTGAAAATCTCTCTAATAGAGTTGACCATGCTGAAGACACAATATCAGAGCTGGAAGAT